GTGTCCTTTTAAACGACCCACGTTCTATACACGAATTTAAACGTGGATGTCGCCGGCACAAAACATATCATGTTTGAATAAAGGCTTAAGGGTTTGTTAACAAGATAGAATGACCTTATCTACGCACGCTCTTTAAAGGGACAAAATGGTTAAATTTCGCTATTTTTTTCCCATGCGTTTGATTTCGGTCAAGAATTATAGTACTTAAAATTAGACTCTTTACAAAATTATAACGCTTTCTGAGAGAAATTGATAAAGATTATCAACTTAAAACTAACGCTAGTCGGCGCTCACTGTTGTGTCTACCATCCATCGCTGTTTTGATCGGAGATAGCCGAATTCATCACGTGATCTTTCGGAGCCTCGTTTTAACCCGCCGTTTTGATATAATTTATACTAAGTGTAACCATGCAATTAGCCTAACGAGCAAAAACTTAATTTGCCAGCCATGTTTCAATTCTTACTTGAAATGACGGATTGTTTCACGCTATACGCCTGACCGAACGAAAAAAAAAATGAATTTGAATTAATCTAAATCTAAGATTGATTGCACGAAGACATTAATTACACTCTCCGAACGATAATGATATAAATTAGTGTTGGGTCACTCCTGTTTTATTTTGATTTTATGACGCTGTTAATCAAATGGTTATGCAAACTTTAAAGTGTTATAATGAACGGAAATTACATCATCTTTTATCAGTTATACAATGAATACCTAACTATTTACTCGCTGTAAGCAAATGTTTTATTAAATTGTAGTTATTTTTTCAAAACGTGTTTAGGTGAACAAAATTTAGCGCAATTTGAAAAAAAAATATAATAAAACGCGTTCAGCATGTCCAGAATTCACCCTTTTCCAAGTGGGTTGAAATGGTCAACGATATTACACGGATAGCTGCATATGTTGTGTGTTCTTGTTCCTAGACATTAACAGACATCTTACGGTAACTTGGAATTTAGATTGTCAAAGAAAAATACCTGTGTAAAATTGCTAACTGTTTTATGGTTGAGTATTAAAACCAGTGATTCACACATATTTTATTAATATCTCATTCACTGTTGTGAAATCCATAAATTTTGATTCTATTCCACGGTTAAAGGCACACTTATTTCGGATATTAAATCTAGAACAGCTGGAAAAGGGAAAAATACATAGATGTCTTCAATTCATGTGTTTAAATTCTTTATTGTCGACGACGCACAAAACACCTATGACCTTGTTTATCGAGGCGACGAGTCAAGCAGCAACCGGAGTTTTAAATATCCGCTCCGAAATGTAAGATGTTATTTTCCACCTGTTGAAAAAAAGATAGAAAGATTTAGTGTCATTGTGTTCTGTATAAATGGAACATTGACACGCACAGAGCACCTGCCAAACAGTGATAACACACGTCTAAATTTAATAATTCTTTTTTTTTTAAAGAAATGTTTACCTTTCAAATTTATTTCTTTACTATATTGCTCATTGAACCATCGTTTACACATCAAAAGACTATATCACCGACAGCAGTTTAGCAATATTGAAACAGACTAATTTAATCTTATTTTCCCTTAAAACACGCATGACAAAGAAAAAACTGAAAACTTGTATAGTTACGCGCATGTCTTGAGATTTTCAAATCATATCAAATTGTAACTTGTATAGTTACGCGCATGTCTTGAGATTTCCAAAGCATATAAAATTGTAACCTTTGACCTTTCTGAAGATATATTCGTAATAAGAGTCTTGAGTCAACGTTCCTTTTGTTTTTTTTTTGTCTTTAAAATCACATCACTGATGACGCGAGATGAATAGATATACGTTTAGTGTTGATAGCCGATTTTGCACACATTTTCGACAGAAAATTCTCTTGATCTGTTTTGAGTTTTTTCTTCAATTAACAGAAAACAAGTATTGGAACAGTGAGAAGGACCATTTTGCTAGGTTTTTGTGTTTATTCTTCACATTTTCAAGTTTTATTGTAAATGTTCTACATCGAATAATCCGAACAAAGCTGGCAATACGAAAATTCTCTCACCGGAAGTACTCAAATCTTATCGCTAATACGCATGTCCACTGATAACTGAGTGGGCTGATGGCGGCACAGGCGCTAGACCGACAGCTAAACTACACTTTTTTTGTCTTCTCATCGCTATCAGTAAATCAAAACATCTCCGGATGACTGCCTCTATTAAAAGTAGTGACGTCAAACCTTGTTAACAATTAAGACGTGTTTATAATTTATTTCACGTACATTTTCTGTTTCGTTTCTTAAAGTGAAAAGTATATTTCTGAAAGTGTGGGAGGTAAACTGAAATTTAAAACTGGAAAAAAAAGGTGATGGTATTTAGAAACCCATTACTGTCTGAATAAGATGTTCGCTTGGAAGTTATATATGGAAACAAATGATCCTTTCAGTTGTACTTAAATATTCAAATAGAACCAAGAAAGGTATAGAAAACATGTATAACTACCTGTTCTAGTATTTCTTGTGTGATGAAGCGTGAAACTGTCTTTTGAACAGGAAATATACTTATAAACAAACTAGTATCATAAAAACAGCCGTTTACATAAACAAATTAACAAATCAGCCTGTTTATAATTAAACAGACTGTTTTTTTTGTTTAGTTTTTGCTTTTTTTGTGGGACTCTGATTTCTTAGACTAAAGTTTGAAGGTTTACATGTAGTAGATTACATACATGTGACTTGAATGCCAACGTTCAAAATCTCAAGAATATGAAAGAAAAAAAATGTCACTTGTACTAAATACTCTGACTCTAATTCAACAAATCTAGGGCTTCTTATAAACAAAACAAAAAAACATACTGAGTCACATGAAAACGTAATAAGAGAATAAAACCAAGTTCTGTGGAAAAGTAAGCGTTTAATCGTCATCTAGTTATACTAACGAGCAACAAACACGCCTAACTTCACATTACACAAAGAAATTGGACATTTCTCAATCCGATTACTATGGCGACCATAAAATGTCACCATATATAGATGTTTGTTTTGTTGAATGATTAGTCAGGGATGTCTCTCATTCTTACATTTCTATTAGGGTATAGTGTTAGTCGTGTTGATGACATAAATAACGTGTGTTATGTATATATTTCTTCTATATATTACTGATAAACCTCATCGTACTGGCTATGTAGTCCTCACACTACGACCTCACAGCCAGAACCGCCACACCGTCATCATCAACATTACCCCATATACCAACGATCCACCTCAATCGCCTTTTTTTATTACAACAACACCGACCCTCCACCATCGCCTTTTATTACAACAACACCGACCCTCCACCATCGCCTTTTATTACAACAACACCGACCCTCCACCATCGCCTTTTATTACAACAACACCGACCCTCCACCATCGCCTTTTATTACAACAACACCGACCCACCACCATCGCCTTTTTATTACAACAACACCGACCCACCACCATCGCCTTTTTATCATAGCAACACCGACCCACCACCATCGCCTTTTTATTATAGCAACACCGACCCTCCACCATCGCCTTTTTATTATAGCAACACCGACCCACCACCATCGCCTTTTATTATAGCAACACCGACCCACCACCATCGCCTTTTATTACAACACCGACCCTCCACCATCGCCTTTTATTACAACACCGACCCTCCACCATCGCCTTTTATTACAACAACACCGACCCTCCACCATCGCCTTTTTATTACAACAACACCGACCCACCACCATCGCCTTTTTATCATAGCAACACCGACCCACCACCATCGCCTTTTTATTACAACAACACCGACCCTCCACCATCGCCTTTTATTACAACACCGACCCACCACCATCGCCTTTTTATTACAACAACACCGACCCACCACCATCGCCTTTTTATTACAACAACACCGACCCACCACCATCGCCTTTTTATTACAACACCGACCCTCCACCATCGTCTTTTTATTATACCAACCGACCCTCCACCATCGCCTTTATATTACAACAACCGACCCACCACCATCGCCTTTTTATTATAGCAACACCGACCCACCACCATCGCCTTTTTATTATAGCAACACCGACCCACCACCATCGCCTTTTATTATAGCAACACCGACCCACTACCATCGCCTTTTATTACAACAACACCGACCCTCCACCATCGCCTTTTTATTACAACACCGACCCTCCACCATCGCCTTTTATTACAACAACACCGAGCCACCACCATCGCCTTTTTATTACGACAACACCGACCCACCACCATCGCCTTTTTATTATAGCAACACCGACCCACCACCATCGCCTTTTTATTATAGCAACACCGACCCACCACCATCGCCTTTTATTACAACACCGACCCTCCACCATCGCCTTTTTATTACAACACCGACCCTCCACCATCGCCTTTTTATTACAACACCGACCCTCCACCATCGCCTTTTTATTACAACACCGACCCTCCACCATTGCCTTTTATTACAACACCGACCCTCCACCATCGCCTTTTATTACAACAACACCGACCCTCCACCATCGCCTTTTATTACAACACCGACCCTCCACCATCGCCTTTTTATTACAACAACACCGACCCTCCACCATCGCCTTTTATTACAACACCGACCCTCTACCATCTACACACCACCCAAGCCATTCACACCACTATAACCACAGCACGAATGCCGGCAATCCCGGAAGAGATGTTTGATTTTGACGAGAGTTATAGCCTCACACAGATATATTATAAACATATATACTTAGTAAAAGATGTGACAATGCCTTCCACGGTATATAATGTTTTCACTTAAGGTTGTTTATTCCTAGTAAATGTATTGCAATTTTCTTTATTGTCTGTTACGGAATACAACCTGTTACACGACTCTCCAGAAATATATTCCCTTTGATTAAAGCATTTGAGGTGAAACTCAGACAATTTAAATTTGAAACAACATGTACTGTATTTCAATATTTAAGTTTTTTTTACAACAATGGAATGTGTTGTAATATTACCATCTTATCATTTCAGTCGTTCTTCGCTGAGCGGTTCTTCCAAATGTTTGACGAGAATGGAAGTGGCTCTATAGAACTGATCGAATTGATGAGTGGACTGCGCACGCTCAGGAAAGGAACCCCCACGGAGAAACTTCAGTTCCTGTTTCGTGTGTACGATATTGACGGTGAGTATACATGTTAATCGTTATACACTGAACTGTCCGGAGTTCGAATTCCAGACCGGAAGTTAAAATATATTGCGTCACGTGTCCCATCATTGAGGTGTTTCCGGGTTACTCCGAGATTCTCCTCATCAACGATCGCTAGCTCTCCTCAACTATGAATGATTGTGGAAGTCTTGTAGTTTAGTACAAATGTCGGATCTGATTTAATAATCGTTTTAAATAAAAAAATTCTTTTAAAATAAAATGTAGTAAACATAGTAAGCACGTCCATAACGTTGCCTTGAATATGAAAAGCTACACGTATTTGTTTTTTCCGACAGGAAGTGGTTCCATCGATCGGAACGAGTTGAACACTGTTTTGAGGACAAGTATGGAGGAGAGTTCCCTGACATTAGGGGAAGAAAACTTAACCAAAATGACAGACGCGATCTTTGAAGCGGCAGATACCGACAATAGCGGAGAAATCTCTTTCGAGGAACTTAAAACGGAACTTGAAAAATACCCGGGTGTCATGGAAAATCTGAGTATCAGGTAAAAACGCCCTAAAACTTTTTATAATGTTGTCACATCGACACGTCAATACAGAAATATTAGATAGGGATTGTTAATGAGAAAATATATATGTTTTTATTTTTTACTAGATTAACAATCTATATCAGTGATACCGGTCTGTATTGTACACGTATACAGAAATTTTCTGTTTCTTTTCAGCGCTGCTTCTTGGTTGAAGGCACCTACCAATGACAAAAGAAAGAAACCTTCCAAATCATCCCGCTATTTCACAGCCACATATATCCGGAACAATCTTAAAAAAATCGTTTTTCTAATCGTGTACATCCTTGTCAACATTGCGCTTGGAAGTTACGCTGCTTACAACTACAGGGAATCGAACGGATGGTACATTTTGGCGCGAATTTGTGGCATGTGTCTGAATTTCAATGGAATGTTTATCCTTGTCTTAATGCTGCGGAAAAGTTTGACGTACTTGAGGCTGACCTTCCTACATCATATCTTACCGATCGACCAAAATATCTACTTTCACAAACTGTGTGGTGTTTTTATTGCCTTTTTTAGTTTGTTCCACACCGTTGGACATATCGGAAATGCTGGTAAGTATGATGGTTGTGTAAATGTTTAATCGTATTGTCATAAAACTTCTTTTTACAAGCACTTACAATTGTATTATCAAAACTACGTTTTTTTCTAGTTTTGAGGGTTAATGAATTTCAAGTGCAGATTATACTAGAGGTTAACAGGAACAACAAGCACTACATTAAGGTTTCAGTGAGAGGTACCAGGTGTATATAGAGAATTTATATGAACTGTGTAGATTACAAGTGGAAAATATCTTATATTAATGAATCAGGAGTCAGGGATATGTTTCACAACCTCATCAAACCGAAATAATTGTTTAGGTTTAGTCAATATTTACAAAACCATCTTTCTTTTGCAGTTGTCGTGGCGGCGCTTGATGACAATGTCGTAAACGCGACCTCTGACCTTCAGGCATGGGAAGTGTTGTTTACTACTAAAGCTGGGATCGGTTTTGTTGGAGCTAGTGCTTTCATCACTGGCTGGATACTGGATGTGGTCCTCGTTATCATGGTCATCTGTTCCCTACCGTTTGTTAGAAGATCAGGACATTTTGAGGTAGATTTCTCACTCTATTTTACTTTACGTCAATATTTTTATATTTTTTTGTTTGTTTTGTTTTTCAATTTCGGGCCTGAATAAATATTGTTCCATCTAAATTTGTATTACTGACCAAGGTACAGCGTTTATGAATAAAGAATGATAAACGCATTAACAATAATTAAGTTTGAAATAAATGGTGAAAAAATGTAAGCATTTCAAACAAGTAATATTATCGTTTGATAATGACTCATGTATTTGTATATACCTCTTAAAGGTGTTTTATTACGCAATATTTCTATATCTAGTGTGACATTGGGTTGTTTACCATAAACCTGTGTTTATAAACAAATGTTTCTTTACCTGTAACCTCCGTTCATTTACCTGTTACCTCTATTTGTTTACCTGTTTTCTCCATGTGTTTACCTGTAACCTCTATTTGTTTACCTGTTGTCTCCATGTGTTTACCTGTAACCTCTATTTGCTTACCTGTTGTCTCCATGTGTTTACCTGTTGTCTCCATGTGCTTACCTGTAGCCTCCGTGTTAATTAGTTACCGCTTTTTGTTCACCTGTAACCTCCATTTCTATACTCGTAAACTCTACATTTTTACCTGTAACCTCCATGTGTTTACCTATAACCTCCATGTGTTTACCTGTAGCCTCTATGTTTATTTGTTACCTCTTTTTGTTCACATGTAACTCCCATTTCATTACTGATAAACTCTACCTTTTTTCCTTATACACTCTACGTTTCTACATGTAACCTCGATTAGTTTACCTGTTACCTCAATTTGTTCACATGTAACCTCCATTTCTTTACTTGTAAACTCTACTTTTTTTACCTATATACTCTACTTTTTTACCTATATACTCTACTTTTTTTACCTATATACTCTACTTTTTTTCCCTATATACTCTACTTTTTTACCTATATACTCTACTTTTTTACTTGTAAACTCTACTTTTTGTCATCTTAATTTGTTTACATTTACATTTTGAATCCATTTATTTACATGTAACCTCCGTTTTTTTAATTTGTAACCTTCAATGGGCCCGTAACGCCATTCTACATTCATATTATCTATCTAGTTACGTGTTACCGTTATTTGTTACTTATTACCTATAATTACCTGTGATATCTAATTACAGGTGTTTTACTGGACACACACACTTTACATCGCGTTCTGGATCCTGCTCATTCTCCACGCACCAAATTTCTGGAAATGGTTTATAGCTCCTGGAATTCTTTTCATTGGAGAGAAATTTTTCCGAAGCAAATTCGTGAAGCGCGTTCGATACGGCACAAATTATATACAGGAAGTTACCATCCTACCTTCCGGTGTAAGTACACTCATCCATCTCCTCCTGTCTCATTGACATACATTGTGTCCTTCCTAAACGAAAACTCGCCCTTTAAAGTTGAATGAAAAATATCATCGTAAAAGATAGTGCATAGTCGATAGATGGATGGTGCGACCTTGACCAGCACAAAATCCTACAATTATGATACCACGGATTTCTAGATTTCTAAGTTTACCTGCTTGCAACCTTTTTATTCTCTCGAATTGTGACAAGGCTCATAAAATACACATGCACGTGACGCTATTCTAAAGTTATCTGATGTATAAAAAATAACGAATGATATCTTAATATGGTGCTGGTGTACCTCCCAGTCTAGATTCTGACTTTTCTTTTGATCTGTTTGGATTTTACTTAGTCGCCTCCAAGGCTTTAAAACTAAGGCCCTTAGAATCACTGACGAGTCCCATAAGGACGAAACAGCTGTAAGATAAGATGCAGTTTAATTCATTGTTTGGCTCCACTGTATCTCACTCAAAGGGTGCTAGTCACTTAGGTGTCTTTTGTACAATCATTATCATGCTTTAATGGATTTCAAACAGGATAAGAATCTTATAGAAGACTTTTTTTGTTTTAGGTGACCCATCTGGTGATATCGAAAGGCGAAAAGTTTCATTATAAGCCTGGAGATTACTGCTTCATTCAGATTCCCTGCATCGCTAATTACGAATGGCATCCCTTTACCATCAGCAGTGCTCCTGAAATGAAAGGTAGGTTCCGACATACAAACTGTTTCTAACTTTACATATTATCACCATCAGCAGTGCTCCTGAAATGAGTGGTAGGTTCCGACTTAAAAACTGTTTCTAACTTTACATATTATCACCATCAGCAGTGCTCCTGAAATGAGTGGTAGGTTCCGACTTAAAAACTGTTTCCAACTTAACATATTATCGCCATCAGCAGTGCTCCTGAAATGAGTGGTAGGTTCCGACATACAAACCTTATTTAAGATAACATATTATCGCCATCAGCAGTGCTCCTGAAATGAGTGGTAGGTTCCGACATACAAACTGTTTCTAACTTAACACATTATCACCATCAGCAGTGCTCCTGAAATGAGTGGTAGGTTCCGACATACAAACCTTATTTAACATAACACATTATCACCATCAGCAGTGCTCCTGAAATGAGTGGTAGGTTCCGACATACAAACCTTATTTAACATAACATATTATCGCCATCAGCAGTGCTCCTGAAATGAGTGGTAGGTTCCGACATACAAACCTTATCATACCTGTTGCTAATATATAGCTGTAGAAGAATGAGACAGCTGTGTGATGCAGCTTTAATATACAACATTCACACTTTTTTTTACTTATTTATCTTGTATATCCTCTGTTTATAGTTGAATTCGGTACAATCTTCAAAATATCTGACTGCAATGAAAATTAATTACCGTTAAATCGTGAAGAAATGTAGAAATTGTCAACACTTCTGTCATAAACACTGCAATAAATCATGTTCATATATAGTGCAGCCAGTTTTTGAGATGTAAATTTCATTTTGGAGATAACTGCTGTGTTGACATATACGGTCATATATCAATATTACTGTTGCTTATAGAATTTTAATAGCGACGCTATTTCTAAAACTCCGTAGGGTTTTATATCCGTATTTTAATTCACGGATATTTAAAATAACAAACATGTAGCTTTTAATCATAATCTATCCGATCTGATTGACCTTGCTCAAGTTTAGTGACGCCTGTAACATTTGAACTCAGTTGACCTTTCGGGGTCAATCCATTTTTACTTACGTCATTGTCATGACGCATCGGTGTCATTTACATTACTGATAATCGCCATCCGACCTAGACAGGCAAACGCGAACTTTCCAAACAGTATATTGTGGTTCTATTCTTGTAAAAATATTTCCTTTGACCATTTAATGTTTAAAAATTCTTTGAAAAACGAGAATTAATGTTCAAACTATTTCCAGTTTTCTGTTGATAACATCGTCTAATTCTGTGGTGGTGATTCTTTATTTCGATCACAAAATTGAAGTAGTTATACACGCTTATGAAACTAACGATGTGTATACAAAATACATGTGATGTTATTTAATATACACAGGAAAGTTTACGCTTCACATACGATCGGCTGGTCACTGGACTAAGAAACTGTACGAGTATTTTGAACAGCTAGATCCCGGATCAGGTAATACTTTTGAGGAGGAGGATGACGTCATTCCTAAAAGGAGAAGCACAAGTCGACGAGGAACACGTAGTCGGTCTTTATACAAGAGTATCAAAGGTAAATTGTGTAGAATTAATCGTCTGTTTGATTATTTTGTCATCACTTTTCATATATTTATTACTTGAACTCATCAATCTATCCAGAAACGCTCATACGCCATTTTTGTAATGAGTCATACTTGAGATATGCTACAAAACAAAATCGTATCAGGTTCAAGAACATGAAGAAACGGAGGATATCATATGAGTTTCCATACATACGAGAAATATGAAACAAATCTCAGGATCTCTTTTTCGTCGCCAGTTAAACAAGATGAAACATCCTTTACAAATTTCATCAATCTCATATGCGACAGACAAAAATCCAAAACGATGTTTATCACATAACGTTCGCAAAAACTGGGAAAACAGCATTTTATTAGGACTGAAACAGATTCAAAATTAGCAATAGTCACGCTCTTTCTTTTGGTGACGTCACAATGCACATACGTTACATCATGAGTGTCATAGCACAAACATCTGTGTAGTTGATGTGAGCACAGTGGTACCGATGAAATTTTGTGATTAAAAACGTTCTATTTACACTCTTAATAAGGGCGGTTATCACTGAAATCAACATACAGGGCATACCTCCTGGGTATGACCCATGAAATCACATGGAAAGTAAAAATTCCGTTCCAAGTCCACATGAAATAGTTTAATCCCATGTTCTTCATATCATTATGGAAATTGATTTGGTGTTGTGACCAAATATTGATTTTTACACATAATAGATTTAGATTCAAACATTTCCTATTCGCAAAATACTCAAAATACTTTATCTGGTAAAGTAGTTTCATTTCTGTCTATTATGTTTCTGTAGGAACGTTCAAGAAATCTGAAAGAGAAGATGAACTGACACTAGAAGTAAGTCTTTGGTTGGTTGTTGCATATCACGTGATCATTGTCATGTGACTATTATGCTGTCTTACACATGAAGTCATGAATTCACTAGATTAATATCAGTTGAATTTTGAAATGTATCAATATTGTACACAAGTGCCATTACCAGTGTCTTCAATAAACCAAACCCTGGCAATGTCGTCAGGTGATCAATCTGTTGTTGATGATACTATTTTATTAACAACCGTAATTGACATTTGATATTATACGCTTGATTGATTTTAAGGAACTGAGAGCCGAGAAGAGACGAAGACGAAAACATAAGAAAGTAAAAATTTTGGTAAGTTATGTTATTGTTCATTGGTTTCATTGTTCTGACAACATAAATGTTACCGATTCGACTGTCTGAAAGAAGAGTTCATTGTTCGATTCTGTTGTATGTAACTCTAAATCAATATTATAATGTTATATTCATTTGTATGGCCTCCTCCTCCTCCTCCTCATTTCAGAGTTTTTCGTTCTATTTTCAAAATAATAGAAAACGATATATGACGGGTAGATAAATCGACAACCTGACATGTCTTGATTTGGTCCTGTTACAGTGTAATATTGACGGCCCATATGGAACAGGGTGTAGGGAAGTGTTTGATACAGAGCACGCGGTCCTGATCGGCGCGGGAATTGGCGTGACTCCTATGGCCTCCATTTTACAGAGTGTCATGTACCGCTACAAATCGTCAAAGCGTCAATGTCCACATTGTAAACACGAGTTCTACGGCGACATCCCTGAACACTCCATGGCACTGAAGAAGGTATGTGATATTGTAAAGTAATTATCGTCATTGACACCGCCTTGTTATTAATCACGCTGGTCTGCTTCATCAGCTCGGATTTTGGGTTGTAGTCTTATCTGACCATGTTTTTATCTTTCATTCTGTTCTGAAGGCTTCTCTGATTTATTATCTTTCCCTTTATATGTTATATGGTTGTATCGACAACAATTGTGTGTAATTGGTATCTGATATTACCTATTGTAACATCGGTTGTGGTTGATTTTTGATGTTTGTTTGGTTTCTACTGTAGCACAAATAATATTATATAAAGAAATATATTCCCTATATATGTATATAAATATATATTTAGCTACAGTTTATTTGTTTTCTTTATAACAAACATAGAAGTGTTTATATATGCAAACATCCTTTTGTCCACAACAACTACGTAGATTTTCGTTTGCTCAATAGGGATATTGTTTGATTGTTTCTAGATATGTTTTTTTAAAGTTCATATTCCGCGTGCAAGTTCCCCAGTGTGTGAACCCTTGTCTAAATGTTATATATACCTATATATATATATATATTTACCTATGAATTATATATATATTCAGTCTACAGCACACAAAACAAAGAAGGTATAATGGTTTCAAATATCATGCACTCTGCCATCTAGTTACAGCTTTCACGTAAATACATGCCACGTCTTAATGCATGCGAATAGTGTCACGTGATCAGAATATTCATGAGTACTTAACTTTCGTTTGAAATTATCAGATAAATAATTTTTAAAAGTATGGAATGATTGAGCTTTGTATATTTACAATATGACCAAATAATGAATTAAAATGCAACATGTTTCGTCCTTTTTGGTTCATCAGTGATTGTATGGGACCAACTTTGAATCACGAGAGTAGAAAGCGAACTCCGACATGTCATGGTATCACTGGTTCAAAGTTCGAATTCACGAATCAATATATTATTTATTTCAGGTGGACTTTATTTGGATCAACCGTGATCAGAAGTGTTTTGAATGGTTCATGAGTATGTTAACTGAACTAGAGTTAGAACAGGCTGAACGCTCGGACTCGGGAAATCTCAACCGTATTATCGACATGCAGTTCTATATGACGTCAGTAAAGGACCTTACGGACATGAAGGGGATAGGTCTCCAGCTAGCCATGGATCTGTTACATAAGAAGGATCACAAAGATCTGATCACAGGGCTACACACTCGGACACAAGCAGGAAGACCGAAATGGGGCAAGGTGAGATGAAGCAACACAATGTTATTCAATTTGAACGAATTGAAGGAAAACAAAATTAGAATATTGTTGCGAGTACAAAATTTTCATTTTAACTCAAAATATTTATTTGTCCGCTTATTAGTTGTACCCCTACTTGATACCATAGTTTTGTCCGCCTATAAGTTGTACCCCTACTTGATACCATAGTTTTGTCCGGTTATTAGTTGTACCCCTTCTTGATACCATAGTTTTGTCTGGTTATTAGTTGTACCCCTACTTGATACCATATTTTTATCCGGTTATTAGTTGTGCCCCTACTTGATACCATAGTTTTGTCCCGTTATTAGTTGTACCCCTACTTGATACCATAGTTTTGTCCGGTTATTAGTTGTTCCCCTACTTGATACCATAGTTTTGTCCGGTTATTAGTTGTACCCCTACTTGATACCATAGTTTTATCCGGTTATTAGTTGTACCCCTACTTGATACCATAGTTTTGTCCGCCTATAAGTTGTACCCCTACTTGATACCATAGTTTTGTCCGGTTATTAGTTGTACCCCTTCTTGATACCATAGTTTTGTCTGGTTATTAGTTGTACCCCTACTTGATACCATATTTTTATCCGGTTATTAGTTGTGCCCCTACTTGATACCATAGTTTTGTCCGGTTATTAGTTGTACCCCTACTTGATACCATAGTTTTGTCCGGTTATTAGTTGTACCCCTACTTGATACCATAGTTTTGTCCGGTTATTAGTTGTACCCCTACTTGATACCATAGTTTTGTCCGGTTATTAGTTGTACCCCTACTTGATACCATATTTTTGTCCGGTTATTAGTTGTACCCCTACTTGATACCATATTTTTATCCGGTTATTAGTTGTACCCCTACTTGATACCATATTTTTATCCGGTTATTAGTTGTGCCCCTACTTGATACCATAGTTTTGTCCGGTTATTAGTTGTACCCCTACTTGATACCATAGTTTTGTCCGGTTATTAGTTGTACCCCTACTTGATACCATAGTTTTGTCCGGTTATTAGTTGTACCCCTACTTGATACCATAGTTTTGTCCGGTTATTAGTTGTACCCCTACTTGATACCATATTTTTGTCCGGTTATTAGTTGTACCCCTACTTGATACCATATTTTTATCCGGTTATTAGTTGTACCCCTACTTGATACCATAGTTTTGTCTGGTTATTAGTTGTACCCCTACTTGATACCATATTTTTATCCGGTTATTAGTTGTGCCCCTACTTGATACCATAGTTTTGTCCGGTTATTAGTTGTACCCCTACTTGATACCATAGTTTTATCCGGTTATTAGTTGTACCCCTACTTGATACCATAGTTTTGTCCGGTTATTAGTTGTGCCGCTACTTGATACCATAGTTTTGTCCGGTTTTTAGTTGTACCCCTACTTGATACCATATTTTTGTCCGCTTATTAGTTGTACCCCTACTTGATACCATAGTTTTGTCCGGTTATTAGTTGTACCCCTACTTGATACCATAGTTTTGTCCGGTTATTAGTCGTACCCCTACTTGATACCATAGTTTTATCCGGTTATTAGTTGTACCCTTACTTGATACCATATTTTAATCCGGTTATTAGTTGTAGGACCATTAATTTTTAGGGTGATTTTTTTCATTCACTTCATGAATACTCTTTATCCTCAAATTCATATGACCACGAATTGTTAAAATGAGTATAGATATAGTGAGATACATCAATGTATATTTTTGCGAAGATTAGAACCAGCGAAAAATATAATTATCATTTTAAAGTAAGTAAGTAGTTCAACTGAATGACTGATGGCATTGCTAAAAACAATTTCGTTGACAGACAAACGATATATGACATTATTAAACCACATGAATGAATCGTAAATTTCAATGATGACCGTGACGGATCATTCATCCATACATCAAATGTAACTTTAATCTAATAAATAGGTAGTCGTGTAGGACGGGGTTTATTTTGCTTTATCTGTGCGCATCTTAAATGTTTCTTTTATATTTCTTAACTTGCAGGTTTTAAAAGGTATTGCGGAACAGAAGAAAGGTAAGGTGAAGGTATTCTTTTGCGGGGCTCCGGCTTTGGGGAAAATCATCAAAGTGGAATGCGAGAAACTCAATTTCGCTTTTTCAAAAGAGAACTTTTAAGACTAATATATTAATATTGACATAGAACACGGAAGTTGATAGTGATATGATCAACACCCCCTGGGCTGTCAAAATATGTGAAGAAAGTGAAGTACACTTGACCAAAGATCGTGACAAGGTGTGAAGGAATGATCACCTGGTGAGGTTGTTGTGTAGTGTTTTCAAGTGGATATCAGGACAGGAACTTCAAGCAAGATTTATTTTTAAAAAAGTCCACTTCACAGTGACGCTTGTATAAATATAAGAAATAGTTTTACATAGTTCCGATACAATCCCGGTGATGGGACCTGTTTAGTATACAGTGCACATATTTATCGCACTTTAAACGCAACAATACATTCAAGTCTACAGATAATTATCCTTGCTAGAACACATAAATAAATACACACATGTTTTAAAGTGTTTAAACCATAAAGTACATCTTTTATATAATTACTCTGTTTTCTTTGAAATCCATGTCGAGGTTTACAAACTTAATTTTTAGGGATGGGAGTATCAATTTGTCGAAAAAGATTTATTGCTGGGACGTCAGCATGAGAATGAGAATTGAATATTTTGACGAACTTACTTATCTGACCAGTCAATCTGATCGGTATATTGACCATCCGGTTGCTCTGTTAGTCACGTTTTAATCTATTAGAATCGTAGCACAGCTCAAGATACACACATATACATGATGCTATTCTTAAATCATTAAACATATGCAATTAACGAAATAGTTTTACCTGTGGGGTTAGTAACCTTTCCCATCTTGACTTTGACTTTTCGTTCGATCTCTTTGCGTTTTCTTCCGGCAACTCACAGCTTCACAATTCACACCCTTAGCATCACTAGCGAATCTGATGCAGTTCAATTAATTGTTTGTCTCTCTCTTGTCTAACTCTTAACTTGTATCAAAAGGTACAATTGAATTGTCTTTTTGTACAATCTTGATCAGTTTAATTGTTAATTGTCCGTTCCATTAATTGACTGATGAAATCGTTTAATCTGGAGTTAAGGGACATTAAGCAATACCTGTGATCTGACATGCGCTAAACATATATTTGTACACAAATGTAAACATATATATTTTGTAAGATTTTACAATGTTATATTTGATGTTCAAAATCGTGTATAATAACTCAATTTTGATACCAATCTTTATTGTATGTCATATATTTTACAGATATTTTAATTATTCTTTCTAATGCATAATACAAGTTATCAGTTTCGATTTTATACTTTGACAAATATCGAAACAAGTCGTTACCAGCATAAGCTGTTTTTATTTACTTTATTTACATTCATATACTATAAAGACAAACATTTCTCAAGTTACAAATCATTGCATATTTGTAAAGTACCCAACGAAAGGCATACACACGATTAAGATTTTACGCAAGTTGTATAAGGGACAGGTCACCATATACATGAGTTATCTTAAATAATTCTCACTGCAGTTGACACTAAAATTTAACTTCTGCCTTATATGCTCATTCTTAAAATGCCAAAAATGGGTGTTTCATTCAACTATCTTAAAATGGTATTTTATCAGTCCAATTGCTTACATGATATATATTTTATCTGAAATATGTTTGATTTTGTTGCAAGTCTACTTTTATGATTTAAATGATTTTATTTCCTGTTTTTTCAACAGAAAATACAGAAAAAATCATTTATAAAATGGTTGGAGTCTTTTCTGCTATCACTATCTATTCCTTAATGTCATGTAAAAACTTGATAAGAATAAAACTTATGATATTTATGGAAACCATCCCATAGTAAGTAGAAATTTAAAGTAGAAAATACGTAAATATTATGTACCTAAGACATGAGAGCAGCCTGGTGTTATTTTAATGTGAGAAGTATATATATACTTAAAAATAATAAATGCACCAATACGCTATGATACCATTTTTACCAGAACGTTACCAGCATATCAAAATATAACTTACACTTCATATCAAATCTATTTAATCACACGAATTTGAAATTTAGTATTTGTTGATAAAATTCATCATTTACTTTCATCTCAAAGGCTGATTCGGAATCTTTGAAACAGGAATTTTAATTGATACATAATTAACATGAATTTAACTTGGAATCGTTTGATTTCATGCCCACTATATTTGTGATGGGAATGAACATAATGACAGTAAATTCTTAAGTGCTACAATTTTTCCCATGTGTAGCCAAGTATATCCACGGTAATCATCAAAATCAAATAACGACAACATATCCAGGAACGTAATGGAAACAAAATAGCTGACAAAGCTGGATGTAATTTGAGGTTAAAATCGAATATAATACGACACATACTTACTTGTATTAAATGACTCATCACATCCAAAATGTATATACTCTAAAGCGACCTACATGATAACATCTCAGTCGTTATGACTTTCGGAGACTCCTGCCTTCGCTTGATACTTTATAATGATGATCCTTTTCATATGTTTATATAAGTAATTTTGGACACGCTTCAATAGGAAATGTCACAGTAAGTAGAGCGGATCATGAAACCTCTCAGGATGGTTGCCAAGTAGCTATAGGTGTTTCCAAACCTAGGTAATGTGGGAATGATTCGCATTCCTTGTCATTTAGTGGAAAGATGTTGCTTCGCCCTCTACTAAAAACAAATGATAATAAGAACTTGAGACACTTTTAATAAGATCGCCCTACTGATAGAGTCCAGAAACCTGTCGGAGGAGGTGGGGGAGGGGTGGTGGTCAAAGATCTCTGACCTGGTTAAGCAGTTGACTAGGTAAGGTACTAAATAAACACTCTCGTCGGAAATCCACTGAATGTTAAATCGATAATTTCAATGTTTTAACTGTAAATATTCGTTTCAAATCTGCGATTGGTTTTTATGTTGTTGTTGTTGTTGTGTTTTTGATAATGTTTTTGTTTACTGTTTTTGTGTGTGTGTGTGTGTGTGTGTGTGTGTGAGAGAGAGAGAGAGAGAGAGAGAGAGAGAGAGAGAGAGAGAGAGAGAGAGAGAGAGAGAGGGTGAGAGAGAGAGAGGAGAGAGAGGGTGAGAGAGGGAGAGAGAGAGAGAGAGAGAGAGAGAGAGAGAGGGTGAGAGAGGGAGAGAGAGAGAGAGAGGTTTAAATACTTGCCACGAGTCCCTTGTTACAGTGCCATACTACATAACTTACTATTCTTAATAGTGACATGAATATGTTTATCAGGACAACGTGATTTGTCTTTATGCATGACATATGTTTTAAACACGATTTACCATTGGCTTTCCTGTGTACATACATTATAACATGTTTTAATGTGATCTACGTAAGAAGAAAATTGTGTTAAAATAAATATAAAGTATTAATAAATTTGTTTTATTATTTTTTATTCAAATAATTTGTAAAATAACAGCTAGGGTGATTAAAAGCATTCAAATTTATTGTGAAAATAAGAAGCAATTTAGAAGTCAAATTTACACTTGTTTAGCAAAAGGTGTAGAGTTAACAAATGTATCAAATGTTGTTGAAGTGAAAATCGGGAGATTGAACTTAATCGGCAGAATTTTGAATTGAGTTTTTGACGGATTTACACCATAAAACAGTACTGTTTCGGAACGGGAACGAAATATCAAAGTTTTCTTACAATTTATGACTTATATCTAGAGTATTTGGACCTATATACAGCAGTGTATCATAATAAAATCATACAGACGAAGAGCATTTATAAATATTTGTTTTATTTATTAAATTACCAAAAATTGCAGCATAATATAGAAACGGAAAATAAACAGTACAATTCAGGTGTCATAGACTTATTACAGAGTCAAGAGTAGATCATTATAGAATGTATCAAGATTAATAAAAACATGAATAAGGTGAATAATTATGGTAGATATCTCTCATTGACTCACATACTGACTCACACACAGACCCATTGACTCAAGCTCTGACTCATTCACTCACGTACCAACTCCTTCATTTATCCTAGAACACTTTCATATTTTGAATATTTTCGAAATATTGAAATGATCATAATTAATTTGATTCTTTTCGACGCAGAGTCCTGTTGTTTCAACATGATATGTATCACATACCCAATAAAAAAGGAGATGTTGTTGTTTATAGGTTGTAGATTTCAAGCACTGAGACATACATTATTATGGAAATATTTCATAATATTTTCAAAAATTTTATTAGAAACAATTTTAAATAAACAAAGTGATGCTAATGAGACATAAAGGCTTTGTATCAAGCATTCTCGCTATATTCAGATCTTTCACTTCTCTACCTAATTTTGTTTTATACAGTGATTCAGATGAAAAAATAAGGAATACATTTTACAGAGCCTTGCATTGAGCATTTTAAAAATAGTAACATGCACTGAAGTGCACGTGTATTTCAATCAGGATATTGTATAGTGAATATCACAGATAATCATGTCATTCAGTTTTGGGCATCAAGAAGTCTTGAAATGACACTAGGGTGGCCTCGATCAGCACCGAGCCGATTTCATTACATGTTGAACGACGGAATAACCATGTTATGAAAAAAATGAAAAACATTTCGCTCTGAAATACCTTTCTTCACGGTATACGATTGTGATTATGCTTATATATATATATATATATATATATATATATATATATATATATATAAAGTCTGTGTTTTATTAGGTAAATATTGCAGGACATATAAGTTTATTTAATAATTTATCAATTTCACACAGCACACGCCTAACAATAAAACTACAGAACAGAGTACATCACATGTACAGTATTAAATAAACAACACAGTTAAATCATACGAACAAAAGGGCGACAACCCCTACTTGAAAGCCATGTAGAAGTCCAATCTATGCTTTAGAGCGTTATGCGTGAAATGAAAGCAAATAACATTTGATTAATAAACTAAAGATGGACCAAGCAACGTGTATAAAAATGATTGGACGGGAAAACTTCAAATAGATAAAAATATGTACTCTGAATCGAGAATGTGTATCACAGTACTCTGTATTCTTTTACGGTAATATACAACACTTACTTTAAATTCTTCTATATCTGTCGGCTGGCATCCTGTCTATATTTAAACCTAAACAAAGGTATCATTAAGATTGTTTTCAAATCTACACTTTATTACTATGATTGTTGGTTATATATGTTTTGTATTAAATTACAAACAGCTTGTACATAACAATTTAGTATCGACATATCAAATTATAAATAATCCAAATAACTTTAATATAATTTAGTAATACATAATTAACTAGTATTCATTGTAGTTCTAACTTGTCTACCATGATACCACTTAAACCGTCTTTCACAGTATAGTCATTGCAGTCACCACTTTTCATTACTCAGTACATAAAAAAACCACAATATAATAAATGTATTGTTTACAAATATATAAAAACGTGTTCAATATTGAATTTTAGAAATTTTCTTTTGAGAATGCTATCTTCAGTTTTTCACATTCTTCTTTTATCGTCTTTCCAAGAGCTGGTGCCCCACAGAAGAAAACTTTGATTTTACCCCGGTCCTCCTGCATAATCTGGCCAAAAAGCTGCAACACGAAAAAAAAATATAAAATAGAATTACATAAAATCCTATATATTCGTGAGACTCCAATTTCAGGGTTATCAGACAATAAACATATCTATTATCACTTAATTTCGTTGATAAACTTTACTCATACAATCCACAAACACTAAAATCCCTGTCAACATTCATCTGTTTATCATTTCATGGACAAAAGAATTCATGGATTAAGCCTAACCACTAATTTAACGGAAATAATACCCCGCGGATATTAATGTTTTAACAGTACTTAAATACATTTTTTATTTAGATTAACGTGTTTGTTTGTAACTCACGCATGTATGTATTTGCATACGGGACCATTTAACACTAGATGTAAAATGCCATTCATACAAGTAAATTATCACAAGATGTGTTTAAGACAATAGTAGTTATGCTCTCATTGTGTTATACTGAATATTGTTGTAACCTACGACGTTTGAATTATTCAGTTATTGTTGTCACTAGCGATCATCATGACTGCATATTATAACACTTGATGTGTTCCTTTGCCACAATGGTACAACGAAAGAAACGTGATAACACACTTATGCAAAATAAATGCCATTAAGAATACCTTTCCCCAGTTAGGTCTCCCTGGTTCTGTTTTCGTCCGTAGACCAGTAATCATATCTTTGTTTTCTTTCTTGTGCATCAGATCAAGTGCCATCTGTAAGCCGATGCCTTTCATATCTGTCTTCTTCTGTGCAGCAGTCATGAACATGTGCATATCTATGATTCTGTTAGAGCCTTCAGCTCCTCCACAAGTCTCTATCTCAGCCTGGTCAATCTCTAACTGAGTCAATAGCGACACAAACCACTCGAAGGCTTTTTGATCTCGATTCACCCACACAAAATCAACCTGAATTGAAAGTAGAAATTTTAAACGATTTCACAATCAGGATCATCCCTAGGCTATCGAGGATGCATTTTCAGGGTTTTTTTAAATCCCAGTTTGCAATATTGTGACTGTTTCGTACATTTAAAGAAGTTTATGTAATGACTTGAAAAAGTATTGTTAACATCAAAATATTTCTCCCGTGGAAAGTTTGACAGGTGAAATCAATGCGAATAGTGGCAACAGGAAATCCGGTACTGAAAGGTAACTAGATCATAGATTTCATATAGGGTATTGGGTAAATACACAAGTATGTTTGCTGTTCATTAAAAATTCCAATGGAGCTACAATTTCATTAATTCAGAGGGCTTTTTTCTGTTGATTTCATAATTTACACAAATATTTCAATCCCTTCCTTTAATGTCAACGCAAACCTGTTATGACGCCATCAGGACTGCGCGAACGATCAAAAGCTAGATCTATAATAAATATCAAATTAAATATATTTGTTTGAGGTGTAAGATTTCCCTAAGAACATACGTTGCCGATTTTGTCCAATGAAATGCTCACATGTGCCGAATAACCATTTAAGTTATTCAACAACACAAAAAACCCACCTAAGTAGAGAATTAAATCAACGATTCTAGAAGCACACGTTACAGGTGAATGAATTGTAAACCACTCAACCATATAAGAATCAGCCTCAATTGAAGAAGAGATACATTAGCTCGACTAAAAATACATTTATCTACAGATAGAGAAAATTTTACCAGATATTGTATATATCAACAGCTTGGTTTTAACTGTAAGATGTTGAACATAAATAAACATTGTTATTATAATCTGGTGATTTGAATATTAAGATATATAAGTTTTCAACACTTTTTTTGTATTATACAGTTATAAATAATTATAATAACCGGTCAGAGGTGTCATGGACACAGTACACTGATGATGTAATTTCATAAAGTGCATATGATAAATATACGCGTGCGATCATACTAATTAACAGACGACTAATATGCATATTACAACTACATGTAACTTTCAAAATGCTATAAAATGTCCCCTGAATTACCGAATACCTCTCTGAGAATACAGAATATTCGCACAAGGACTTGTATATTCCTAAAACCAATAAGATAGAGAAAATACAGATGATAAACAAATTATTATGCATATCACATATAATTATCAAAAATATTACTGACCTTTTTGAGCTTCATGGTAGTCTCTGGGATATCTCCATAGAAGTTTTTGTTACAATGTGGACAGGTACGTAATGATGATTTGTAACGATACATGACACTCTGGAGTATAGAGGCCATGGGTGTGATCCCTATACCAGCCCCCACAAGTACTGCGTGCTCCGTCTCGTAGATCTCGCGAGTAGCAGTTCCGTAAGGACCATCTATGTAACACTGAAAAAAATGTAATGATTTAATATATAAAAAAAATATCGAATTGAAACAGAGATGGTTAAACATAGTTGCAATTCGGAATACGCTGCACAACTATGGAAACTGAATAGTTTGGGTGCTGTCCATAAAACGTAAATGTCAAACATACGCGATGAGGTGAAAAACGCGAAATTCAAGATCCTTAATGGAATATTCATCCTATGTCTTTGCTTCCATTAAGCCCATATAGTGTCATATATCTTTAACGAAATAAATATATCGAAAATAATACAGTTAACTTAATTTTTTGATCAATGTACGCTCCCAGTTGTATTTGAGCTGACATTTGAGATTTATTTGGGTCACTTAAGTCATCGCAAACAACTTAGGCGATCATCATCACTGACGAAATTTACAAGGATAGATAGCTATATGATGTAGAATCACTGACGAGTCCAAGAAGGACGAAACAGCTGTATGATGTAGCAACACTGACGAGTCCAAGAAGGACGAAAAAACTGTATGATGTAGCATCACTGACGAGTCCAAGAAGGACGAAAAAACTGTATGATGTAGCATCACTGACGAGTGACAGAAAGTGGTTTGATGCAGTTAGTGATGCAACTGTATGATGTAGCAAGAGTAGAAAGACGAAACAGCTTATTAGCATCAGACGAGTGACAGAAAGTGGTTTGATGAATTCCTTCTGATATTAACGGCTAAAAATTACATTAAAATATTATCTTTTCAATACTTTGACGTGTAACGTCTGTGTTGCCGTATTTTGGGACCCAAGACATCACTACAAACTGTGGCTGTAGCATTCACGTAGCGTTTAATGTCTAATCAGGAACTTATGTTGATATTGGCACTGAATATCTCGTCATTTACCTTCATGGATATCTAAGTAACATACCTGAATGCGGACTGCTTTCTTCTTTTCCTTTCGTCTCATTTCTGATTCTTCTTCCTAGGAAAATTCCACGACATGATAAAAACTGCATTTTCATATGTTGATTTTTTGCAACTAAAAGCCATGCATAGAATTCAATATATAATTCCATAAATAAACTTTAAATGTTTTGTAAAATAAGCAAGCATTCATTCTTTACGGAAAGAGTATGGTGGTAAGTTTCAAGGGATTCCACGCTATTATAGGATAGTAATGTTTTTATCGATAAACAGATTGATACAACAAATATATTCGTTCCATATTTCAGTATACAGCACGTTCTGGCACTTGTTCAGTTTACAGAGTATCAAAATGTACCCTAAAATCATTGATGTAGAAAATGTTCATGCAGCTTGAGATCTGGATGAAAAGGCTCTGATGCACATACTTAATGTAAATAAAATGCACGTACGACATTGATGTTAATTAAAGATGAATTACTTACTAGTTCTATTTCAATGTTCCCCGTCCGTGACATCTTGATTTTACCTGTAAAACACACAAGTGAGTTCTCAGAAACAGAGGTATTTATTCATAGAAGGTGGTAGTATCACAAATATCCTCAGAAAAATCTTTTCCCGTAATAAATATTTAAAAAAAGTATGTCATATTATATGTAGATGAACCTTATGGTATAGGCTGAATACTACTAGAATATTACAAGTACACCCCTGAAAACGTACAAAGACCAGGTTTTTAAAAACGGTAAACATTGTCTGCTTTATCAACAACAACTGCCGTATTATCTTAGTCGATCTTATAGTTATTCAACAAACTGTAACTGCTACAACATAAATGTAATTTAAAGAAATATTTAAATCAACATTAATAGGTATCATCTAAAAATCAGGTGGTTTAGGTTTACAAGGAAAATATTGAATTCCTAAATAATTTCGCGCACATAAATTCATAAACCTCAACATGTATATGAATAGGTATTATACTTAAGGAATAATTGATTATCGTAAGTAAACTATGTAGATGACAGTACATATAATGTATGTGTTTTAGAGAATGTTTAAATCATAGTTGAGTTATCTCCCTTTACCGTTAATAGGAAATTGTCTATAATTTAAGTTAGTGATAATCTCCTTTTCAGTTAATGATATATCGTTTATATCAAGTACAGGACGTAAAACAAAGGTGAGTTATGTCAAAGTGCATAAAACAGTCGATCAAACTCACACCACTGAAAGCATTTACAAAAGCAAACATGTAGAACTTAACAGGTGAAGAATGTGTTTTATGGTGAGTGTTCTATAACAACATGCAATCATCATGCATGTGCTTACTGATATATATCACAACAACACAGATAGTGAACACTTATATTATTAATGTGAGTAAAATAAATGAGTGTTTCAGTAAGACACTGATAAAAAGTAAATAAAAATATATATAAAACTTACGTGTGAATTTGGTTGTAAAATTTTATATCGAAACAAACTTACTTTAAAAATTCAACAAATATTACATACGAACGAATTACTGGTACTTTAAAGGTTAACTATTTTTATATCACATCAGGAACAGGGGGATATTTTGAATCAGAATTATTCTGCATTGGTTTACGCTACATGTATGTAGTATCAAGATAACATTTCCACGACTAATAGGTGCAATTTATCACATTAAATCATATACATTGTACAAATGTCCTCTCTCTCATGATGGCCATAAGGGAAATTATTAACTCTTGACAAATATTCTATAGGACAATTTACCGCATTCAGTTATGATACGGACAAAACGACGAACAGAACCAATGATGCTGTCAAGAAATAAATTAAAATGAGTGTTAGTAAGAGTTACCTTCTATGCCTATGTGCCGGGATTTACGTTTCTGTAGGGGAACACGAACCACGCTCTTACCCTTCTCACGCTCAGTGTCCAAGTTCTCAAAAAACTTGTAACATTTGTTCGTCCAATGACCGGCAGATCGCACGTGCAACCATATATGTCCTGTAATCACGAAATGCTGAATGCTGATAAATGTTGAAAACTTTAAAGAAAATAAAAAATTCTATACTGTAATAAAAAATAAACATGGGAACAGAATCATAATCCAACTTAGAATTCGATAACCAGGGTCAATATATAAAAAATAACGATTCACATGGGAACTTAAGAAATTGCAAAAGGCGAATAGGAACGGGAGTTGCGAAAGTGCAGATCGTGGTCAATCCACGTAAGCAAATTCACATTCGCAAATGAGAAAAAGTATACAACACCGGAACCAACAGGCAACGGGCATCAACCACGTGTAGCTTCATATCGTTATTCTGTCAGAGGGACCCATTTTTCATCATTATGCAAGATTGAATAACACTGTGCAAACGATGCACTTCAAAATAAAACCAATAGTAAAAAAATATCGATAATTTCATTACTTAGCTATAAAACACCTTTGAACTCTAATTTTGGGGAAGACAGCAAAAGAAACCTTCAGAAATGTTCTACGTTACTTATTTCAGAAAAAAAAACATGTTTATATGAAACGAAGTATTATTCATGTATCTGAGCATCTAAACAACGACAGTTAATCCTTAAATGATCTTTCATTATGAAACGCAGCAGGATGACATCACAACAGACAAATCCTTAAATTGTCCATTAAACCGAGGTTACCTTTCATCTCTGGTGCACTGCTGATGGTGAATGGGTGCCATTCCTGCTTAGCTATAGCGGGTATCTGTATAAAGACGTAGTCCCCAGCTTTGTATCTGAACTTTTCCGGACGAGAAATCACCAAATGTGTTACCTGTTGGAATAACAAAACACATTGTAGGATGATTTGGTATGGCAGGAAGCAATAATAATTCGTTAATTTGTTGAAGGCACCAGGATGTTGTAAAATATCTTTTTATGTTGGGAATTTACCAACTTCGTCGCTCAATAAAATGTGAATGTATATAAAGATATGATAACTTTTCTTAACAATAACTAACGATGTTTAAATTTTGCTAATCTAACAGGACAGACAAGTCAATAATATTTTGTAAGCCACACAGTATAATAATAGATTAAGCTTATCGATAATGTCGTTGCATAGACTTACACCGGATGGTAACAAGTTGACTTCCTCTATGTAGGTATCGCCATATCTAGCCTTCTTGATCAGTTTCGATCGCAACAATTTCTCAAGGATAAATATCACTCCTGGGCCCACAAACCATTTCCAGAAATTTGAGCCGTGTATTATCAGCAGGATCCAGAATAGTATATATAGCATATGTGTATTGTAAAATACCTGGAAAGTGAAAGTGAAGAAATAACTGACTGTTTATAATAAACATTTCTAATTTCAGCAAAATATACGTCTGTTATAATTATGGAAATACAGTTTAATTGATAATGAACAATTGTACATGTAAAATATATATGTTAAGTGCATAACTGGAAATGTATTACAGTTGATGATAAGCAATTGTTAGCAGATATACAGATTGCACTATCAATGTATACAAAGAATGGGCGGAAATTACGGTTGGAAAAAAATATAAATATCGAAAGAAGTAAATACAACAAGAAATCACAAATGTGTAAACATAATCATAATCCAAACTCGAATTCAATAACTCTAGGGCGAAATATGACGAAATAATGATTTACACGGGGACTCCTGGAAAATACAAGGAGAAAAAGACCAGGTGTTCCGTAAGAGAAAGCGTCTTCTGCTGAGTAGACGACACTCGCTATGTAAGTAGTCAATACAGTTAAGTAATGTATCGTTCTCAAATTGGAACAATGTTATACAGCAACGGAAACCAACAGGCGAACATCAAACACGTACAGCTTCATATCGCACAGAGGAATAAAAAAAACATATTGAGACGGCCGTAATATATCCTAAACCGTATGATATGAGAATGTATGTTAGTTGACGAAATGTCGCACGACGATTGTGATATGGAGAACATGCTCTTGAATGTCGAATCAACTGCGACATACAAACACTGTAGGTTAAGGATACTGGAATGCTGCTATCCAGAATTGAAAAATTCACAATATGGCAATTGAAATCATTACGTTATATGACATTGAGCATCTTATGAAAATTCTTATACTAACTACATCCTTGCGAATACAAACCTACCTGAAAATGACCACCTCTTCGCACGAATTCTAGTGAGCAAATTATCATTACTACTAAGATTATGTCCAGTGCCCAACCACTCAAAATGGCTGTACCATACACCCATCCATATCCGGCACGGGTGGTAAAGAAAATCTCCCATAATGCAAGGTCGGGTTTGGATATATCAAGCAAAACTGGAAAAAAATACATAAGATTGCATTTTAGCAACAATACGTGTAAATGAAAGGATACGATCCTTTTGTTAAACATCATACACTCAACGATGATTATATGGCTTCATTCTATACATTCATATATATCACTTTAAACTCCACACTACAAGCGATAAACTTTGGTATACCTAAATGTTTGAATTCTAATATCAGAAATCATTGCACAATATTTAACCTCCAGGTATAAACTATTCAATATTGCGCGATATTTAGTAATAATGATAAAAAAACACCTTTGAAATAGCATAATTATCTTAATATTGTTCATATCACAGAGAGGTTATCAATGTATTCATAAGAGTAGATCGTGTTTAGATTATGGTTTGATGTTATATGTTGTAACGTTATCGTAAAGAAAAAGTTCACATTTTCCAGATGTCATATTTCTGTTTCTTTTTAATCGTTACAGTATATTTCTCTACATTCTTAAATATTCTTTATCATATGGCACAGATCACTGATGAATTTCAAAGATTGTAGCATAGTTAACATAGCAACAAATATCAAGAAAATACCAACATGGCAACATTATCATAATTCAAACTCAAATTCAATGCAACTAGGACAAAAGAAAGATTTACACAAAAACTGCTGGAAAAGTACAAGGAGAATAATACCAGATGTTCCGGAAGAGTAAGCGTCTTCTGCTTCATCGACGACACCTGTCATGTAAATCGTATTCAATCCATGAAGGTAATGTAAGTAAGCAAGCATATATTATATATATATATATATAATGTTACTAATTAAACTTACTGGCATTTCCTACATGGGCTAAGGTATGAAACAGTGAGTAAAACCCGATCATCCATCCCACCATCTTATGAAATAAGATGTTTTGTTCTAGTGGTAGATATTTTGCCACTCGTGTCATCAGTAGGTACGTAATTGACTTCCTCAGCATCAGTACCAGGATAAACATACAGTTAAAATTCAAATTCATTCCACAGATTCGCGCCACTATGATAAATCCATTAGAGTTCCGATAGTTGTAGGCTGCGTAAGCTCCAAGACCGATGCTGACCAAGAAGTACAATATCAAGAACACTACTTTCTTGAGGTTATTCCGAATGTACGCATACGTACAGTAGCGAGTTCGTCTCTTGTTTTTATTTTTTGCAGGAGGTTTCAGCCACTGTGCTGCACTGAAAAAAATATTGAAAAAAGTGATCATATTTGTATTCTTTTGTATGTTTCAAATAATGATCAAGCATGAAAGATATATTCCAGAAATTACACATTACCTTTTTTTGTTTAAATTTCTAACTGGGTTTCTAACGTTCTGGTCCCAAGATATCACTGATAAACACCAGAAAGTATTAATATAACTGCTATTCACTTCCATTTCTTATTTAGCTGACTATTTGGTTGTCGTTGTTACTATTGTTACGTCATGTTCTATTATTGGCATTCCTCCTGAACAAATTTAAATTCCTTTCAATGGAGAGAGACAAATTGAAAGTTACTTTTAAAATGAAGAATATTCATCAAAGAAAAAACAAGTACAAAATATCTTATGGGAATATTCAAATATTTAAACTTTCGTTTCGTTTTTTAAATATATTATTCAGAGCCAGACTCGAGTCGAATTTGAAACCGTATTTATTTTCAATTATAAACTTTTATCTGTCCGTAGAAAGCGATGGGATATTCAAATATACTTTGAAGTCCCATAACCTTAATTCTAGAGTAAATATTTACATGCTGACACGATACATGTCAAATGTAAACAAAGTGGTTTTGTTTATTAAGGAATCACTCTGTAGTGTTTGGCGAGATATTCTATAAGAGATGTTCAACGTGATAAGTTGAATATAAGACGCGATAAGGAGCTATTCATTTGTATGTATCACACTGTCGGTATTGATAAAGTGAAATCATCTCCAAAGTATTAATATTCAAACATGGCTTCGGTCTTATCATTCGTTTTATTGCCATGATGCTTTTGAACTTTTGCATAATCAAGGAATTTTACACGATTTCTGCCCTTACATGGCCCTTATTATGATACCTAAAGATATTTAGAAAGTCGTGCCATGTCCCTCGGCGTGGATCTGAATATCGAGGATCAATATTGCTCTATCATTTGCTATTTCATCATATCAAACTCGATGAAATATTACTTTGTGCTAGCGTAATAGTTCACTAACTTGCAAATGGTTGAAAATGCATAAAAAGTAACGTAAACCTAAAAGAATGTAGAATGCTTCGGTATTTAAAAGGTCCATAAAAGAGGTCTTGCTCAGCAATTTTTCACCTACCCCCGCCCCCTCCAACCACCACCACCACCCAACACACACACACGTACACCAGTTCACAAGGATTTCACGTATTGCGAAAACGTTAATATAAGTGTAAACATCATTGTACTGATACTAAAGACATTAAGTCTATAAATACAACTTTCACATAATCCTATCTTTGTATAACCTTTCCGAGTGTTTGAGGTATAAGTAGAGAATATTTACCTAACTGATACTCCACGAGGCACTGATCACAGTCTAAGGATATTACAGGAATAGCGATGATAGTTGACACTTGTAATATAATATCAAAAGGAATAGAAACGGGATACGTAGACCGGTGTTTCAAGTATTTGTAGAATACACTATAACCATAATGACACCATTTGATAGGATACATGTGAACCGATCTGAGATTTTGTCACATGTATGTGTGCGTTTTTGGTAGATTCAGGCAGTTGGTGGTTTTATATGTACTATAATATACAAACTGGTAGTAACATAAGCTCTCTATAGGTGTAATAGTTGTAAATAAATAATTGTATATAAAGACTTCGGTTTTACTATCTGAGGTGCTTTACTATTGGCGGGAAAACGTTCGCCACAACTTAAATTTTACTCATTTAGCTCCATTATTAATATGGTGAAATTAGATCATTAGCTATACTCTGGTGCTAAAACTGAAACATCAGATTGTCAGTATCGTAGGGCGAAATTAACACAAGGCAGAATGAATTGAAATAAATATATGTATAAAATAAACCAGTAGATCACACTGCATTAAATACTATAGTGTATCTATATATTACTTATCTAATAGCACTCAAACTTCTGGCTGATTAAATCAGCAATTATACTTGAAAATGATTCCTCAGTTGCCTCCTAAGATTGCAACTGTGAGTTCAACATCACTGACGAGTTCTAGAAAGACGAATAAACTGTATGATGTAACATCACTGACGAGGTCTAGAAAGACGAATAAACTGTATGATGTAACATCACTGACGAGGTCTAGAAAGACGAATAAACTGTATGATGTAACATCACTGACGAGTTCTAGAAAGACGAATAAACTGTATGATGTAACATCACTGACGAGGTCTAGAAAGACGAAAAAACTGTATGATGTAGCTTCACTGACGGGTTCTAGAAGGACAAAACACCTGTATGATGTAGTTTAGTTCATTGCTTTGCTCTACTAAATCTAACCCTAAAAAAATAAAAGATACTATGTATTTTTGTGTTATTTTTACAATCTTTTAAAACGTTATGGTAAACTAATTCCTTTAAGTATCATCTGTGTGTTGTGTTTAATGTTTTCAAACTTACTGACATTTTGTTACATGTGTGTAGCGCATTTGTAGTCAAAAGTTGAAACCGTCCTGTACATATTGCAAACGAGAAGAGAAACTGATGGTCGAGGTCAAATTCTTTGAATATTTTCTACATAAATACCCCTTTGATATACATACACTTTCTAATGGAAAAACCAATTACGGAAAATCATCAAAGCTTTCAATCAGAGTATTTCTCGTAAAAACGCCGGAATTACAATTACAAAACATTAAAATTAATTTCTTGTTTAAAGATATGAAATATGCATGACGAAGAATTAGGCTATACAAATTTAAGGGAGATAACACAAAGCTCACCTTATAGTAAGGTTCTCCAAAACACCCGGATGTTTTTCTAGTTCCGCTTTCAGTTCGTCGAACGAGATGGCGCCACTGTTGTCCTCGTCAGCGGAGTCGAACAAAATATCAGTGAGGGCATCCATGTTTTCCTCGCTGATAGAAAGAGAACTCTCCTCTGTACAAGACATCAATACTGTCTTCAACTCATCCCGGTCTATAGTGCCACTGCCTGTTGAACAATATAAATACTGGACGTCATTTTGAGAACGTAAAGTTATTTACTTTGATAGGCCAATGTTTACATTGCGGGTGTCGCCGATGAAGCAATCGACTTTTGCTCTTCCGGAACATCTGGACCTGGTTTTATTCTTGTACTACTTCAGGAGTCCCCGTATCAATCTTTTTTTAAATATTTTGCCCTAGTTTTATTTAAATTGAGATCGGATTATGAAAAGTTGACATTTTGGTATATTTCTTGATGTTTTCCATATCTTTACGTAAAAGTCGCAACATTTCATCCAAATGGTAAATTAATACACAGCAAACTAAACAAAATATTGCAAAAATAAATCTTAAAATATTTTGCTCTCAGACATATCGTTGGTTTGGCTATGTATCAGAGTCATTGGTTATTTTATGTATCAGTGGTAGATGATACAGAGCAAAATCGAATATAGGCGGAAAATGTCACACAAAAATAAACCCCTACAAACCTACAACCATTGGTATAATTGATGGTTCTTTCCAAAATGGGCATTTCAGTTATATGAGTCATATGTCCTTTAACAGAAGCACCAGGACGTCACTGATTGTGAGAGTATAGGACAGTAACGTGCACCATATTTTCATCTTAAAACAACATGTAGAGATGCAGGTTGATGACGACAATTTGAAAATTTTACGATTTTTATTAACACGACCATGAGAAATATGTTGTTTACCTGCTCTCATTAAGGAACGTGCCATTAACTGGAAAGACCAGAATTTAACATTGGGAGTGTCGAATGCTATGTAGTTTTGTTGTATTGTGTTGCCTGTGTTTTAGTTATCCACTAACGATTCAAATTCGTTTAGAATTTCGTTTCTAATACCAACCATATTATAACGTTGTTTAAGTCATATAAATACCATAACTCTTGCTTTATTTCGGCTTTGTTTTCATTAAATCCCATCGTTATTTACTGATCATAGAAGACGTGTTAATAACGGTTCCCAAAGACTCTCAAGTCTTCTTCCTGCTGTACCTATTGTAACTTTTTTTATCGTGATTCATCATCTTCGTTCCTTTCTTATCTTTGCGTCCTTTTTGACACCCGTCCAGGAATGACCCTGACTGTTCCGTAAGATAAACACCATAAAATAATTTAGGTTATACAATAGTGTCCTCTCTTTGAAACACCACAATTCTGGCAGCAACACTGATTAGGTTTCATTACCTATATAACAACAATACACAGTATGATATTAACATGAATCTACTTACCGTCTACATCATACACATCGAAGAGAAAACGGAGCTTTTGAGCAGGTGTTCCTTTCGTGAGCATGCGCAATCCGTCCATTAACTCGTGTAACTCTATAGAACCACTGCGATCCTGGTCGAACAGAGCAAAAAATCGCTCGGCGAAAAAAGACTGAAACATAAAAAAAATAACTTTCTTTATAAGTATTGCGTGGTTCGTACTTACTATGGAGTTAATTGGTAATGTTGAGAAACAGTACCATTTGATTGAATTCTAGAGGGAAAACAAAACTTTCTGATTGCGAGTTTTGCTTAAAAGATGAAACATACGTTGTGATTGATATATGATTTTAATATCTTTTTACACTATATATCTACACTGATGTATATAGGAAGTGTTTAAATAGTCACATTGATATACCCTAAATTAGGATCTGTGTGGAAATCTGCTGTTGACTTATTATCTGCCAGGTATCTACAGCAAATCGCCATTAGTTTCACGCTGTGCAGGTATATGTATCTATAAGATATTTAGTGTTACCTACACAATGTAAGGTTTCGAGATTGCTTTTATCTTAGTTCCCCTGACCACAAACTGTTTGGCCTTAAAAATAGCATAGACGTACCTTTCTTAATCCTTGTGACCTTGAGAATGACAATACTTACCTTTTTGACCTTTAGAGCGTCCTTGAACTCCTCGAGGCTGATTTCCCCGTCCTCGCCAGCAATGGTCGTGAACTGCTGTTCTATCCATGCTAGCCACTTTGCGTCTTCCTCACTAAATTGTGGTAAATGTGGAAAGAAAGTTAGAAATATATCAGTGAGAGATTTGTAATGTGGTATTTTCTGCGCATGCGCAGAGGAATTTTTCTGCGTAACTGTCACAATTTCCACTTCGTTATCTATATCATCATCCGACATGACGATTCGAGTTTTACCTCACCAGACTTCACAGTTAATCTCGCCGGAGGAATGTCTCGTGTAACGGCCATCAAATCTGTACCTAGTAAGAGGTAGAAATTCACGATACGTTATAACACAAAGGTTATTTCCCTAATCCCCTTGTAAAGTTAAGCCCGCTTCTAGAAAGTATTCAGTAGTAAATATTTGAATCATACGGCTGAAACATGGATATATATTCCAGAACTGAACACCTCTTATATTGGACTTATATCATGAAATTGTACCAAAAAAGTGATGTATGAGCTGTCACCAATATAAACGCTGTCGCTGGAATGATTTGAAAATATCTTATTTATTCCAACTAGTTAAACATTCTTTCATTATTTTTTCTGTAGACTTAACTGTTTATGTAGTATTTGTCTGATACCAAATCTATGTTTTCTTTTGTATCTCTTGACGAAAAAAAATTTACATAAAAAATTTGTTATTGGTTTATTTATCGATTAAAAGTTTTCCCTGACAAGTACAGTGTTAGATAGAATGAACTGCCTTTTAGCTTTAAATAACATTAAAACTCTGCAGTTTTATACATCTCTCTCCTTCATCGATCGTCACATTACTATAAGTGAACTTATAATTCGGATTTCACGACACCCTGCTTCGCCCATTAATATCATCTAAGCACACAAATGGGACAATATCTTTGTGGGCGAGCAAAAAGTTACCAACAATTCGATAAAGACTTCTGAAGATATTTTTTTTTATTTCTTACAAATGTCCGTTTGACGACTGACCGAAGTGTCGATTTACGAGTCGACTTCTGTAACAGCTTGGCGCTGGGAGGGCGGTGATAGATAGAGGTTATTGTACGGACAACATTTGATATGCAGCAGATCGGTTTTTAACGACTGTGAAATTACGCTCCTTTATAAATATTTGATATGCTTATGAAAGGTTTCGTTCATTCATATTCAGCGGGTTATGTAACAGCGATATTGGAGGTTTTCCTTTTGATGATACTCATGGGAACATTTTCTGGAGAAAGACCGAAAGGGAGTCTATGAGATACCTATTTATTTTATTAATGATGGCCGCAACTCTGTTGAGCGCCGGAAGTCTTAAGCCGACCAACCATATATGGAGCTGAGATAATCGTCATTACGTATTCTGTGCATAACGGGAATTCTAATACATGTATGTCTAAAACTGTAATTTATATACTGTAAACGTATTAATGTTGGCGGTGTCAAATTTTAGGGCAATATCAGTGATGAACACAAAAGCGCAACTAGGAATTAGAGCAATCGGAATAATTTCTATGTTGACGAAGTACAGTTCTGTAATTAGCATGCTAATATTATAACGCTAGTGCGAAAAACGCTTTAGTACAATAACCGCTTATATATATATATATTTATGTATTTACACTAAAAATTACAAACTTTAACGGATTTGTAACAAAGGCGGGCATTTATCGCGAAATGGGTTGTAAAACGTGACAAAGGTATGTTATGTACGATTCCGGACAAACATGTACAGTTCTTTGTTCCATTTCGTGACTAATGCGCTACATCCGAAATAATTTCTCCCATTCAATTTGTTACCATCCTTTTCACCTGCTGTGAGGTATTCACAGGTACAAAACTGATGGATCTTACCTTTGGTCACAGCTGTGACCTCGTTCTATGGAGAACTCATGGTTCTTACCTAACATTGGGTAAGACAATAGTTGTGACCTCTTTCTATGGAGAACTCATAGTTCTTACCTAACGTTGGGTAAAACAATAGCTGTGACCTCGTTCTATGGAGAACTCATAGTTCTTACATAACATTGGGTAAGACAATAGTTGTGACCTCTTTCTATGGAGAACTCATAGTTCTTACCTAACGTTGGGTAAGACAATAGTTGTGACCTCTTTCTATGGAGAACTCATAGTTCTTACCTAACGTTGGGTATGACAATAGCTGTGACCTCGTTCTATGGAGAACTCATAGTTCTTACCTAACGTTGGGTATGACAATAGCAATTTAGTGTGTATTTGTAAAGCTTATTGTTCTTGCCTTTAATTAATTTGATACTTAGTATTATATCTCTGTTCTTTGTTAATATCTTCTGTTTAGTATATAATAAGCTTGGATCTAAAAAATATGTTTCTCTTCTTTCTCAACAGCTTTGTCCTTGAACTGAAGCCACTGTGAGGAAAGCTTTGTGCTGTTTTCTGGTTTAGACGTTTCTTCTTTCTGCATTGTGATTGTGTAACGACTGGATGACACATATAGATAGATAGAAGAGTAAGCAATATAGAACAAATCAAACCCAACCTAACAATTAATGGGTACAGCATCTGTAACCAAAGAATAGCCGATGTTTCATACCTTCCGTGACGTATGACTACAATTGTGACGTCAGTACATACAGGACTGAAGGTTCCTACCTTCCGTGACGTATGACTACAATTGTGACGTCAGTACATACAGGCCTGATGATTCTTACCTTCCGTGAGGTGTGTCTACAGCTGTGACGTCAGTATATACAGATCATATGGTTCTTACCTTCCGTGACGTATGACTACAATTGTGACGTCAGTACATACAGGACTGAAGGTTCCTACATTCCGTGAGGTATGACAACAGATGTGACGTCAGTATATACAGGCCTGATGATTCTTACCTTCCGTGAGGTGTGTCTACAGCTGTGACGTCAGTATATACAGATCATATGGTTCTTACCTTCCGTGAGGTATGACTACAGCTGTGACGTCAGTATATACAGGCCTGATGATTCTTACCTTCCGTGAGGTATGACTACAGCTGTGACGTCAGTATATACAGGTCTGGTGATTCTTACCTTCCGTGAGGTATGACTACAGCTGTGACGTCAGTATATACAGGCCTAATGGTTCTTACCTTCCGTGAGGTATGACTACAGCTGTGACGTCAGTATATACAGATCATATGGTTCTTACCTTCCGTGACGTATGACTACAGTTATGACGTCAGTATATACAGATCATATGGTTCTTACCTTCCGTGACGTATGACTACAGCTGTGACGTCAGTATATATACGTGACGTATGACTACCTGATGATCATATTCTTACCTTCCGTGAGGTGTGTCTACAGTTATGACGTCAGTATATACAGATCATATGGTTCTTACCTTCCGTGAGGTATGACTACAGCTGTGACGTCAGTATATACAGGCCTGATGATTCTTACCTTCCGTGAGGTATGACTACAGCTGTGACGGTCTGCAGAGAGGTAATCACAATTGGTCGGACTTTATTCATCTTTTTCTTTCTTTTATAAGGTAAATAATTTCAAAATCCTCACAGAAAACTAAGTCGGCTCAAATATGTTGCTTCATTTATCGTTGCATCAACTCCGATGGAACACAAAAATTAAAAATTGTCTATATCTATTACAAAGCCACCATATTAGGATCAAATGTTACACCGACAGCGTTCCTAACCCATGAAATATCATTTTTGATAATTAGGCCCTCTAACCTCCAACGTTTTTATCAAATATCATGTTAGGTATACAAAGAGATCTTAATCCAATCATAGTTCGTGTCTTTGATACCTATAATGTTTACACTAGCCAGCGATCGTGATGTCCTATTTACAGTCTCTATTAGCGTTATTACAGTGCTCTAAAACACGACGGCCAAGCCCGGGACAAGCCCCTCCCGCTTATCCCAAGGAATAAAGGCTGCGAATTTAATGTTTGTTTTCAAGTTTTCAGTATTTTATAATTTTAGTCAATCCATTTATAATATTCGTAGTGAAAATTAATTCCTTTAAAATATAAATTGAAATATGTCCATGGATGAAGCATTATGCTACACTGAGTTGAGAGTACAGAATAATTCATAATTGCTTGTTTAAGTTCCCTTTGAAAACAGAAATACTGATTAAAGTGTAAAGAGACATGTACAAAAACAATATATATGCAAGTAAGTGGATCACTTATATAAGCAAAGTTGATAAAAAAGCAGCAATGTAAACATCACTTATAAAAGCAATGTTACTAATAATAGCAGCAACGTAAACAAGACGAGTCATTTCACATAATCAGCTATGTATATTAAGCGGAATACTTTGAGCACAAAACAACATTGTAGAAAGCAGTAAAGCACAGGCTCTTACAAGTAATCGGTGATGTGGTTTACTTTTTTTGAATTTCTTATATTTTGATAAAGTGGCTTGGTATTCATGAGAAGTTTCTGAAATCTAATTTTCATAATCTTCACTTTATGTTTGTTGTTCGGACACATTTATTCCACATTACGCCACGTTTTAATGTACACAAACAGTTGCACGGTTCAGAATATACACAAGTGCTTGTCGTTGTTCTAAAATGATCTGATATATGGAAATTACGAAATGCATTTAATTATGAGACTACCGCACCTGCCCGTTTAGATTTTGACTTTTCTTTCGATCACATTCTATTTCAAATCTTACACTTCAGAATTTTGGCCCTTAGCACACTACTGACTAGTCCCAGGAGGACGAAACAGCTGTGTGATGCAAATGTATTCATTGTTTAGTACCATATCTATCTCTAAAGTGTGTGTCTCTCGTACAGTCTTAGAGTGGTTTCAATTAGGCCTAACTATGTCAATACACTGTTGTGAGATTTAAAAAACAATTAAATAGGGAATAAATATGCATAAAAACTCTCATTGATTTCCTGGCCTTTTCGCTTGTAAAAACGATCAAGTTTCTGTTGTTAGTGTCCTTACCATATAAGGAGAAGAACACATTTTGAATTATATCTCTTTGTTCTGTAGTTTACATAAATAAAAAATCCCCATTATTTTACTTATATGTACCACCTCAAACAATTACTTGTTGAGAGAGAGATGTAAATAATCTGAAAAAAAAACAACAAAAAACAAAAAACAAAAACAAAATCGATTGTATGTATACGTAAGTAGTTGGCGTGTGAACAATATGTAGCGTAAACAAATCTTTAAAGCGTTGAAAATTTCATTCAAAAAACAAAAAAGCAGCATGTACATATATGGAAATAAAATATGGATTGTTTCAAATAGGAATAGATACTGGCTTGTCAATAAAACCCTAAACCAAAGCAAATAGCGCGACATGTATATATGACAACGCAGGCGTTCCACGGGGGCAAATAGCGATCCTTTACCTCGTTTGAAAACTGATGCATTTACTTTAAATGCGAGTGAGAGATTTTTTTTGTATAGCTTTTGGAAAAATCAAAACTGCACGTAATCCAACGGCAAAAACACCATAACCTGACAGTATATAATGTAACGACAATAACAACAGTCCTGCATACTTGTATGACTGTGAACGGCACATCAAACCACTAATTATTAGCCCTTGTAGAACACCTGTGCCGACATCAAAGCGTGTATATAGGTATTAAGTCTTACCGTTTTGGTTTCGGCTCCTTTCTATAATAAACGTTAGTAAGTAAATATATTGTTAAATAAACGTGTTGAATAATGTTGGTGAACATCTGGGATAAGCAACCTTATATTTGTATATATCCAAAGATTTACAGAATGTGTTTGAAGGATGACCAGATAGAGAGAGAGTAGGAGAGAGACGGAGAGGGAGAGAGAGAAAGGGGGACAGAGAGAGAAAGAAAAAGAGTGGGGGAGAGAGGGAGGGAAAGGGAGAGGGCTAGAGAGAGAGAGAGAGAGAGAGAGAGAGAGAGAGAGAGAGAGAGAGAGAGAGAGAGAGAGAGAGAGAGAGAGAGAGAGAGAGAGACAGAGAGAGAGACAGAGAGAGACAGAGAGAGAGACAGAGAGACAGAGAGAGAAAGGGAGACAGAGAGAGAAAGAAAAAGAGTGGGGGAGAGAGGGAGGGAAAGGGAGAGGGGTAGAGAGAGAGAGAGAGAGAGAGAGACAGAGAGAGAGACAGAGAGACAGAGAGAGAAAGGGAGACAGAGAGAGAGAAGAGTGGGGGAGAGAGGGAAGGGAGAGTAGAGAGAGAGAGAGAGAGAGAGATAGAGAGAGAGAGATAGAGAGAGAGAGAGAGAGAGAGAGAGAGAGAGAGAGAGAGAGAGAGAGAGTGTGTGTGTGTGTGTGTGAGAGGGCGGGGGTCGGGGGGGGAGGGGGGCAGAATCCTGTCTATGTTAATTATTGAACACTTCTGTATTTCTCCAGCCATACTCTCTTCCATCATTGACACAACAGTATTCTATATGAGATCCTTTCACAATTTTCATTATTCGTTTGCCTTTACGAGTTTCTGTTTGCTTGCGAGTGTGCTCGGTTCAGTTGACATCGACATTCGCTACCGCTGCCACGTTCGTTTTCACTAAATAAAAATTGGAAATGTGGGTGGGGAATATATCTTCTGATTACTGAGACGGACAGGTATTGAACTTTTCTACGTCATCATCTTTTGTATCCGTGTGCTAACATTTCAATAAGGTGGAATGACGTTAGTGTTAACAAATATACAGTAAACAACAAAGGTTTGAGATAAATATATCGACAGCCTAAATGAATCGTTTTAGTGATGAAACCTTTATAAACCTTTGTTTAAAATTGCTATGTCCGATAGTGATATAAAAAAAATTGTGCAGAAAAGAGTAAATATATTTTGTTACGATCATTATCACAATATTAAGATTAGGACAAAAAATGGATGATGAGGAAGATTATCATGTTTTTGATGATGATGATGATGATGATGATGATGATGATGATGATGATGATGATGATGATGCATTATTTAGTGTGTAACATAATAATATTGATTGTGATATATGAGGATTATCATGTATGGTGATAATAATAATAATAATAGTAGTAATGATCACATGCATTGTTGAATGTTGATGATGATGTTGATGATTCTTTTGAATGGAGTGTACTTGTTTGACACGCAATGACTATATGTGCACCTGTGGTTGGATGTGTGAGAGGGTGTGAGTGTATTTGTCCTGTTCAACGTGTAAAATCTTGAAAAATAAAAAATTATAAAAAAAAAGATTAGGAAAAAATCAAAGTAATTATCTAATACTGACCTGAATTGCTGATCGTCTGCTTCCTTCAGTGCCACTCCAGGTCCGTTTAAAATTTCTCCATTACCTCCAGAAAAATTCTCTTCCGAAGGTGAGGATGTCCGAATGGAGTCTACCACTTGACCTTGACCGCGCCCGTCGGTAATAGAGATGGCGATACTATCGCCGTTAGAACTGTTTGGTCGTGGGGAGCTGATGATTGGAGATATTTGTGCAGTGGGCGGATTTTTGTATGTATTTATTGTATTCATTTCACTATCCTCGTTTGGTATATTGTCGTTTTCATGCTTCCTCACATTTAGCGCTATTTGGTCAACGTCAATTTTTACATCCGGGTCCTGGTTTGATGGTTTTGATGAGGATTTTGCTTGCTGTTTTTCATCGCTGTCAGAGAAAGCTGGATTTGTCTGACTATAGGAAAGCCCTTGGATATCGGCCATGTTTGTTAACGGAACAACATCAGATTTAGGAATATCAGTCGCTGTGACAACCGGATGACATTTATGTACTAAATAGGTCGGAGCTTTATTCTGTAGAGGACGCTGGAAGGAATAGCTGGGATTGCTCGTCTCGATTACCGGCAGATATCGCTTGAACGAGAAGCTGTTAAAGATGTTTTGATTGGCTGTTACGGACTGGTTGCTAAATTTAGGTTTCCACAGACGATCGCCGTTGGAGAGGTAATAGTTCACATGAACCGGATGTTCCGTTTCCCCCTCGACGTCGCTTTGTACTGCAAGGTTGTCGACACCGGAAGTGACGTCTATACGTACCAGGTGTTTAGGAGTTTGAGAAACTTTACTCGTTCCCGAATAGCTTTCTGAAAAAAAAAGATGTAAATATGATTTGAAATTTAAACAACGTGTATTTTTCGTTAAAAATGGTATTTTGTAAACAAAGGGATCTCTCTCTCTCTTCCTAGTAATACCCATCATTTCTTCCGCGTTGGACTTTGAAGCTTCTTCTATCGGAACATGATCAATGATCATCCTGAACATCATAGGGAGTAGAGTGAACACGAATGGTTTTTGTACAACAAAACATGAGAAATTTTGAAATTTTGATGCATCAAGAATATTATCCAAATGTAAAACCGAACTATGAATTCAATTTGTCTCTAGTTCATTCAAATTAAACAACAAATGAAATGCGCAAATTTAGATATCAATACACGCGTTCATGATAGTACCTAGAACGAGTTTTATAATTACGACGATTGGATAATATACGGGTCAGTCAACTGGAAACTAAATGTAAATAGAACTTAGAAAAAGATAGAAAAAATTAAACCAGTATTGAAAATTTGTAATTCTTAAAAATGCACTCCTTCCCGTCGAAAAAAATATATATGTAATTATCTATTTTTCAATATCAATCACTTTTTTGCTACGTTAATCAACTTTATTAGATATAAATATCAACTCTTTCACAACAATTGCTTCACAAGGTATTTCAACTTCTACCAATCCCGCTTGTTAATTACAGGAGGGGGGGTGTGTCCTTACTGAGGGAGTAACAGTGCCCGGGAAAACCCCACGTGTTCAGGCAGGTTACATCTAACTTTTCACGTCTTTCAAAGACTTGAATCCTGGGAATCCTTGGTGAAAGGCGTGTGCATTACTAATGCACCATCAGACCATCCAACTAAGTTATCAACACTTCACGGAGTCGACACGGTATCAAAGTCAGTTTTTTTTAAACAGAATGTATTAAACGATAAACTGTATTTCGTTTACGACAATTGCGAAACAAGTTTTTTTCCCATTTTATATTAATCATTCTTGTTGGTCCGGATGGAAGAACGCGAGGGATCTTACTGTAGAAGGGAAACTGAGTACCCGGGGGAAAAAACCCACGTGGTCGGGTAGGTTACCCAATACCGTTTCACACCCATTCCGGGAATCGAACACCTGACGGCTAGGTGAAAGGTGAGTGTGTTACCACAGCGCCACCCGACCACCTCTGCAGAATTGATACACAAGCCCAAAGCGACCAAATCAAATTCATAGCTGATGAAACAAACTCTCTCTCTCTATATATACACACACAAACACGTGAAAGTTTCTCAATACGAAAGACCTGCTAATTAAACATTGAATTATTCAAACAATCTACAGACTATCAAACTTTAACCTCAGTACTGATAAACTGAGAATTCTGTAAACAAATTTTCATGATCCTAATACTTGTACAATGTATGGTGCTATTGTGTTTTCTCGATGTTCTCTTATCAGTGTCTGTTTCGATTTGAAAACAGAATGTTGGTTTTGTTTGATGATGGGAGTTAAAACGACCTAGAAGCTGGTGCATCAATTGTGTGTTAAAATTGAATCGGAGGTCGGGCACACTGCCATGGATTGCTACATATTGATAACTTGTACTTTAAGATATTGTACACAGAGCATGTCTTATGAAAGCTTAATACTTTTAATGGTTTACACTTACAGCAATTTAGAATGTTTAAACAGACGATACATGTATACAATGATTAGATTCCTATCAAATCCGGTCTCGCTTCGGATGCCCTTTTCAAATATGGAGACTTCTCAAGTTGTTTTTTAAACAATGTGATCTCTCCGATACCGACTGTGTTCACTCAACATTTTCAGAGTATGTAAACGTGTTTAAAACGTAATATTTACATAGTCTTTTTTTTTACAATATGACAAGACTAAACTGTCTCTTAAGAATGGAACTTAAGGAAAAATTAATAAGAAAAATGTTAGTTATTGCATATCTCACTAACGACCGTGTTATTTATTCTTACCTAGTCTTGATTAGTTCTGAAATGTTAGAAAAATTCCGAAATATATCTATAAAAAAATAAAATATGCAAGATAAAAACATTCACTCACCTTACTACGAGATATCAATGTCAACATGCACGCTCTGTATGTGTTGCAAAATTAATTTAAATATTTTCAGTTACAGAACCCTTATAAACATCCGGGAATCTTACAAACTCTGCTCCGTGACAGAGTCCACACGTCACAGTACCATTCAAGCGTCAAAAAGAACACGCTTCTACCGTCACCAAGATGTTTGTTTTAGGATTTGCCTATCATGAGAAGATATAAGTGTTTGTTGATTCTATTCATTAACACGATAAGGTATCTGTGGGTAAAATTCTTTCGATAGTGACGTCACATAGTTCAATCTATCTATACGTGTTGTTTCTGTTTACGCGTTGTGGTGATATTTACAATTTACGGCTATCTAAGATATACAAAATTAATTCTGTATTATCTCACCTCCATAATTTGAAGAAAGGGTAAGGTATTATGAATTATAAATTGACAGATGAGGAGCGTTGGGGTGTATCCATTCCCCGTCTCCAAACACGCTCGTTGGATCTGATATTGCACGCAGGGGGGATTTAATTACTTAATCATAACACACCACAGATGATTACATAACCACTTCAGCGATTAGAGTTTTTTTTCTAAGTTGTTCCTTAAAAAAACTCAAAATAGCAAAAGAGTGAATTTGTCGAAAATTATGCTGAAGAGGATCAGCGTTAAACTAACGGATGTTTGAAATAAGTTTCAAGAAAATGAATGCGTCTGATAGTTGTAGAAAGGGGCGTTGATAAATTTATTGAAGATTATATTTTTTATATTAATTAAAGAAGATCTTTCATAGTTTCGATTGCGTAATTTAGGGAACGAGTTTAAGATCTTTCGTCAAATACTGAACCACTTGTGAGGCAAAATGGAAATATCGTGACCAGTTTCACAAATATGTCATCACGTTATCAAAACGAGCTAATAAAAGTCATTTCGGACACAATAACTTCTATGTTTTTGTAGCTACATTTGCAGGCTCGTCAGCTGTTTTTTATGTTGTGTCTAATGTCCTTGGCTTTTTCGTTTAACATGCTAGTAATGATACGCTGGAATCTGTTAAGTCTAGAAAATTTCGTTAATGCGTAGAGGTTGCCAAATCTTCTAATTCAGGCACTTGGGTAAATGCTTTTCGCACTAAACAAATCTTTTGATAACAAGTTTTAATAATTATCATGACAAAGTTATATTTTGATATCAACTTTTAAACAGGAAAATTGTCCTATTAATAATAATACAAAACATTTACATTTCCTTGTGATTTGTATAAGAAGTGCTGTTAACTTAATAATTTCTGCGGTAGTTGAACAGTTCTCAATCCTTGTATTAGCATTGTTATCAACTAAAAGCATTTTAATGCTACTTCTATTTCTGAACATGTGTGTTTTTGAATTCGTAAAAGGATATTAACATCATTCACACCAGCCAGATCAATATCGGCGGTTAATGTCATTTTCGCACCAGCGTTATCATAGGTGTTAAAGGAACAAATAAAAACGAATTAATGACACATCTCACGTCCGATTTATCATTTCATCCGTGCCACCCTTCTTGGTTAAATCCCTAAACGTATCTTCAAGCTTGTCCCCACCATATATAAAATAACATCAAAATCATTCATCTGCTTGCACTGGTTTGGTCATCAAATGTTTCAAGCGTCTGAAAGCATCAGTTAAGAAAGTCAAAAACCGGCAAAACACTCAAATCCATCTAGATTTTCTATGTTTTTAGGGGGTGTATGCGATTTTTGTTCTTTGCTTTCTTTACTGAAATCGGTATCATAGAGGTGTGATTTCTGACAAATGCAAGTTTATAAGTTAACAAGTCAAAACCCGTAATTCTTAAAGTACTATGGACACTTTGATGTTTGTGTGTTGACAGTAGAACCTTGTTAGTCTGGACACTTTGGTTTGTGTGTATAGTAAAACCTTGTTAGTCTAGACACTTTGGTGTGTTTGTACAGTAGAACCTTGTTAGTCTGGACACTTTGGTTTGTGTGTATAGTAAAACCTTGTTAGTCTGGACACTTTGGTTTGTGTGTACATTAGAACCTTGTTAGTCTGGACACTTTGGTTTGTGTGTATAGTAAAACCTTTTTAGTATGGACACTTTGGTTTGTGTGTACAGTAGAACCTTGTTAGTCTGGTCACTTGTTTGTGTGTTGACAGTAGAACCTTGTTAGTCTGGACACTTTGGTTTGTGTGTACAGTAGAACCTTGTTAGTCTGGACACTGGTTTGTGTGGACAGTAGAACCTTGTTAGTCTGGACACTTTGATTTTTGTGTGTTGACAGTAGAACCTTGTTAGTCTGGACACTGGTTTGTGTGTACAGTAGAACCTTGTTAGTCTGGACACTTTGGTTTGTGTGTATAGTAGAACCTTGTTAGTCTGGACACTTTGGTTTGTGTGTACAGTAGAACCTTGTTAGTCTGGACACTTTGGTTTGTGTGTATAGTAGAACCTTGTTAGTCTGGACACTTTGGTTTTTGTGGACAGTAGAACCTTGTTAGTCTGGACACTTTGGTTTGTGTGTACAGTAGAACCTTGTTAGTCTGGACACTTTGGGTTGTCTATACAGTAGGACCTTGTTAGTCTGGACACTTTGGTTTGTGTGTACATTAGGACCTTGTTAGTCTGGACACTTTGGTTTGTGTGTACAGTAGAACCTTGTTAGTCTGGACACTTTGATTTTTGTGTTTTGACAGTAGAACCTTGTTAGTCTGGACACTGGTTTGTGTGTACATTAGAACCTTGTTAGTCTGGACACTTTGGTTTGTGTGTATAGTAGAAACTTGTTAGTCTGGACACTTTGGTTTGTGTGTACAGTAGAACCTTGTTAGTCTGGACACTTTGGTTTTTGTGGACAGTAGAACCTTGTTAGTCTGGACACTTTGGTTTGTGTGTACAGTAGAACCTTGTTAGTCTGGACACTTTGGTTTGTGTGTATAGTAGAACCTTGTTAGTCTGGACACTTTGGTTTTTGTACAGTAGAACCTTGTTAGTCTGGACACTTTGGTTTGTGTGTACAGTAGAACCTTGTTAGTCTGGACACTTTGTTTTTTGTGGACAGTAGAACCTTGTTAGTCTGGACACTTTGGTTTGTGTGTACAGTAGAACCTTGTTAGTCTGGACACTTTGTTTTTTGT